CATGGACACCACCACCATTGACTGAGCCATGTGCCCAGCTGGTGCTGGACACCCCAACCGCCACCGTGGGGATGCCCCGTGTGGGGTGGGGGGCAAAGCGTCCCTGCCTTGGGGTCTTCTCCACCTGCCCAGGGAATGACGGTGGAGGAGGTTGTTCCCAGCTGGCCTTTTCAGCTCTGATGGTCATCCTTCACCTCGCACGCTCCCCGCCTGGCTTTTTCCTTCCAGTATCCTTAAAAAAAAAAGAGCCCTGGTTTTCAGCTAGCTCCCCCAAGGATGGGGCTGGCTGCTGGGGTGCCAGAGAGGGGCTGGAAGGGGCTGCTCTGCCATCCAAGCCAACCTCCACGTGGGCCCAGATGGAGACCCTGGTGGAGGTAAAGCTGTAGAAGCCCAAGAGGTGTCCGGAGCTGTCTCTGCACTGCATCCAAAACCAATGCTCACCCAGCAATTGGAGCTGGAGCATGAGGAGACAGCAGACCATCAGAGGTCCCCAATACCTGCTCCAGCCTCCCTGGTCCTTCTTCCAGATAAAGAGAGTCCTCTCATCTCAGCTGTGCCATCAGATGGGAAGGGGAGATTTTTTAACAAGGGCTCCTTTGTCCTAGAGGCTAATTAGTCATTAAGGCTAAGTAAGTGCAGCTGATGGACTCCACTCGCAGGGCCCAGATCCTGGGCACCCACTCGTCCCCAGAGGTTCTGTGAGTCCTTACCCGGCCTGGTGAGAAGCGGCGTTGCCTCCCCAGGAGCCCTTCCCAGCACCCAGGCCCTGCCTGCCCCATCCCCCCCGGCTGCGGGACCTCTCCCAGCCTCCCCCCGGACTGCGAGGAGGTGGCTGGTGGGGGGCTGCAGGGACCCACCAAGGCGTGGGGTGGAGAGGGACCCCACCCAGGCCACCCAGGGGAGAAGAGGGACCTGCCCCATCGGCTCCCAGGCTGTGCCAGTGCTGGGGAGTGTGTGGTGCAGCGAGTGTGCCAGTTCTCAGCTCCTCGCCATCACAGCAGCCTCGGCAGCGCCAGCCCATGGAGCCACAACCCTGGGGCTCCTCACAGACCGCTCATCTTGCGTGCACAGACGCAGGGGTGTTCCCTTGCCCCCGCGCACACACGTACCGGGGGCCAGCTGTGCTCTCGCACGCCCGTGCGCACACACAGCCCTGCGGGGCCAGCGCAGGAGCGGGCCAGCATTTGCCCCAGCCTGGCACGGCTCCCTGCCCTCTTGGCACAGGCTGGGGCTGCTGGAAGGGGCGATTCCCCTGCTGTCGGGCACACGGGCACCCGGGGGACCTGGCACCAAGCAGGACTTGGCCACTGGCCAGCAAGTGAAGGGCCGGGGGGGCTGGGGGCACAGCTGGACCCTGGGCACCAGCGGGCAGGCAGCCGCTGTCCTCATCCCACTGCTCCCAGAGCATCGCTGTGGGGGCGACGCTGCCACCGGGTGTGTGTTTGTGGGTGGGTGCATGCGTGTGCGCGTCCGTAGGTGTCCGGGCTGTGGGTGTAAGGCAGGCGTGTGGGTTTGCGTGCACGCGTGCACATTTGTGCACGGCCTTAGGTATCCAGCACAGAGCTGTGCAGGAGGGCTGTGAGTCTGCATGTGCATGCACAGATGTTGTACCTACTTACTTGTGCACGTATCTCTCCCCATGTGCATACACGTTTAAGTGTTGGAGTGTTTTGAACGTGTGTGTGCATATATATGGTGTGCATAAATGCTGGGAAGGGTCTCTCCGTTTCCACAGGCTGCAATAACCCCCAGCCCACGGCGCAGCCCCATCCCCAGGTCGGTGCATCCCCAGCCCAGCCTGCTCCCCGCTTGCTTGGGGAGCACGCGAGGTCCCCTCTCCTCGGCAGCCCCTTGCCCGGCTCTCACCGCCCGTGCGGCTCAGCCCCGTCCCTGCTCAGGGCCACAGCATCTCCCCCAGCCCTTTGTGGCGCGGCTGCAGCTGCGGGTCCCCCCAGAGAGAACCCCGCCCCCACACCCCGCGGGG